AGATAAAACACACAAACTTATACACAATTCTACAGGCCTTAGGCTAGTAATCCAAGCCTAACATAGGCAATACCAGAGCACACTAGGCACTTAGATTTAATTTACAAACCAAAGGTGGTTCAAAAAACTATTAACAAGAAGTCCTATGGAAGAGGAAGCGGAGTGTGCCGAAAGGATGGCTAAATGCGGGTTCATGGATTCGTCAAGCTACGGCTTGGGGGAATGCAAAACAAGAAAACCTGAAGGGGGTATCAATGTAAATAACTCTTGCACATGCACCCTTGAGGTCTAAGCATTGACGTTAATATTGTCATTTGAAGAAGTTTTATTCAATGAAATCATCAATTTTTTTTATGAGAAATTAATTTTTTCAACATTCTTCTCCAAGCAAGAGCCAGGAGAGGATCTTTTGTTGTACTTAGCTATATCATATGTTGCAGTTAGTTAAGCCCTTATTGGAGAAAGTTGGGCCCTATAAGCCATTATTCTATGTCTCAAAAACTCTTCTCGATGTAAAGGCTAGATATTTTAGGATTCAAAAAAGTTTTACTTGCCCTTGTTATTTCAACAAGAAGATTGAGGCCTTACTTCCAATCTTTTTGAATTATTATTGTTAATGAGTATCTTCTTGGAACAATACTTTATACCCTAGATGCATTGCAAAGGTTACCTATATGGGTCATAGAACTCATACAGTACTATATCATCTATATGTAAACCATTAAGGATGCATATCAAAGAACACTGACCTTGTTCACCACCGTTGATGATGTTTCTGAAGATAGCTTGCAACACAAGGTACTTCTCCTCAATGCCGATCCTTAATACTCTCTCACAAATAGGGTTTGAGTTCTCTCGAGTAGTGGTGATCGATTGAGTATGGACTACGTATTTATATGCATCATTAAGGTTTCTTGTCCATCAAGAAACTCTCAACATCTCCTAGTTGCATTGGTATTAGGAGCTCTAACTTAATTGAACATAGGAAACCTCTTGGCTTTAGGAATGCAATTAAACACAACTTCCTTAGAACCAAAAGTCTGATTTACATCAAGCTCCTTGGTCATTACAATAACTTAGATCTCCTATATGATGGTTAGAATATCACACTTATGTGGATTAACACATAAATACATTTTACATTCTTCCACTTGATCAAGTAATCATCAAGACTTTTTGTATGACTACTTTATTGCCATTGAGCTCTCATGAATCAAATTATACCATTAGGCCTCAATCAATACCAAAACTGCATGGAACTATCAAGATGATTTTAGCAGTAAATGCTCACGATCTTTACAATTACACACACAGTCTCAATTATCACACAAACTTCATCATAATTAGAACCAAAAGATGAACATGACTAACTTTAGGTGTGTCTTGATATCATTATCATCATCAATCCACCCTGTGAGATTGAACAATCTCTTTTTCTGCAAAAACAACTCGACACTTTCATGAATATATGTCTTGTCCAATTAATGAAGCTAGCTTTGACTCCATATCGATACTACTTAATTTATTTGTCATAGTAAAACTAATAACAGACAAACATTCATAGAAAATATACTTTATCATTGAATCAAAAACACAAACACTAGTGAAAATTTAAACTGCACTAGTTAAAACATTGTCTGGAAGATTAACATCAAACAAAAACCACCAACATGAACTGAATTAAAACATGACTCCCACTAATCCAGCCGATCAAAACTCCACACTAATCCCATGTTTCTGATATGTCCATGGAAAACACCATTTGGCAAACCTTTAGTGAATAGATTAGCTATCATCAAGTGAGTGTCAATGTCATCAATCCTTACAAAGCCAAACTTGACATTCTCTCTTACTGACAAATATTTGAATGCCAAGTGCCTAGTTCCTGACGACATTTTACTGCTTTTGGTAAAGGAAATTGCAGCATTGTTATCATTCCAAATTTGAATTGGGCTTTCAATTGAATCTACAACTTTCAGACTCGTGATAAAAGTTCTTAAGCCAAATAGCTTGACTTGTTGCTTCATAACATGCAATGTACTCTACCTGCATTGTTGAAGTTGCAGTAATTGTTCACTCTTCCATGAAACATCTCCTCCTCCAAATTAGAAGACATAACCAAAAGTAGACTTCAATGAGTCCACCAACCTCCCAAATCTGCATCAGTATAACCTACCAACTCCAAATTATCACTTTCCTTATAAACTAAGTTACAATCTTTAGTTCTCTGCATATACCTTAGCACTTTCTTTGCAGCTACCCAATGTGCTTGACCTGGATTGTATTGAATTTGACCCAAAAGACTCACTGCAAATGCCAAGTGATGTCTATTACAAACTTGAGCATACATTAAACTACCCACCAATGAAGCATAAGGTTTATCTACCATCCCCAATTTTTCTTGCTCAGTTTGTGGTGATTGCTCCTTGCTTAGTTTGTCTCCTTTAGAACATGGTACCATATTAAACATTTTCAACACATTCTCTATGTACCCTTTCCAAGATAAGCCAAGTGAACCTCTCTCCCTATCAAGATTGATTGCAATGTCTAGTACATAAGAGGCTTCTCCAAGATTTTTCATGTCAAAATCTTGAGATAGAAACACTTTAACATCATGCAGTAGTGTCAAATTCTTGCTTGTCAATAGTATGTCATCCACATAAAGTATGAGAAAAAATAAAATTTCTCCCACTGATTTTAATATAAAAACACACATCCACAAGACTTTCAGTGAAGCCATGAGACCTCAGCACTTCATCAAATTTTAAATACCACTGTCTAGAAGCTTGTTTTAGTCCATAAATAGATTTTCTTAACTTGCACACCATTTCCTCTCTCCCTTCTTGAATTAAACCTCAGGCTGCCTCATGTAGATCTCCTCATAGAGATCTTCATTCAAGAATGCAATCTTTATATCCATTTGGTGGAGATACAGATTGAAATGAGTAACTAAAGCCAATAAAACTCTAAATGAGTCTTTTGTAGAGACTAGAGAGAGTTTCATTGTAATCAATTCCTTCTTGCTTTGTGAATTCCTTAGATACTACTCCAACTTTATATCTATCAATGAACCCTTTGAGTCTCTTTTAGTTTTATAAATCCACTTGCACCCTATAGGTCGACATCCTTAAGGCAATGGAACCAATTCCCATACTTCATTTTTTCTCCATTGAATTTAACTCAGACTTCATAGCTGCCAACCATTTTTCAGATTATGAACATAAGGTAAAATTTTCATTTTAGATATGACATTAGGAAAAAAAAAAAAAAAACCAGGAAACCCAAAAGGAGTTGAGTTTTGGTTAAAGAATTACCATGCTATTCACGAGTCTCCATGATTAAAGTTGATAAAGGAATCACAAAGCACACAAGAAAGTGCACAAACTTAGCAACACTGGTCTATAATCAATCTACTAATAATCATGAGAAACATATTAAAAAAAATTCATATGATGATTTTTTTCTCTCTTTGTGATTGTGACAATTTGATGTAACAGCTACATGAAGCTCCCCACTAGAAACAAGCATGCCACAAAAAATGACATGGAAAATATCACTAATCTCCTCATTAGGTTGATTTTGACACTACACTAAGCACAATATAAATCAAACTAATTTCCAAATACGCAAACTGCGGAAAAAAAAAGGCCCATAACACCATATTGAGGTGGCCAGCTATTTGCAAGAATTTGGGTCCCTAATGATGCTGACATCTTAACCACATCAAGGGGCAGCACTGTTTTAACAACACATTAATACACTTATCCAACATGACTATCTTTATAGTGGTCCTGCTGTATCTCTACATGTTGGGCTAAACATCGGCAACAATACCATCTACAACAACAAACTCCTACAAGTTGGTCAGTAATCCAGGTATGAGAAACTTTTCCATGATATAATTCATGTGCTCAAAAGCTTCTGAGTAAGGAAAATAACTTCTGTGTCACTGGTGCAATGTACTTTTGCGTTTATCTCGCTCATCACACGACCGCAAAATGCATGTGTTGCACACGTAACACAGAAGTCGCTCTCTGCTTTAATTTGTATTTTATTTTTCATGAAAAGTTCCTCTACTAATTGATATACCAAAAATTGGTCATCAATCAATCCCTACAACAACTATTTTCTCTGTTTTTTTGTTTCGTAATGATGTGCTGTCCATATTAACAGTGCTTCAAGCGGTGTTGTTTAGAAGGAGGCAGACCCAAAGATTTGGACAAATCAACAGGCAAGATATAGCTAAGCTTGAACTCAAATCCATCATTTGAACTTTTCTAACCATACCAAAACACATGGGAATAAAAACCCATAAATAAATAAATTCAGAAGCAAATGTTAAAATCAGAAAGGGGTTAAAGGCACTGAAACTGAAAGGGAAAGGGGTGCGTGGTACCCAGATAGGCAGATACCATTCAAATGGTGTCAGGAACCCATGTGAGAGTGTGGCCCTTACCCCTTCACATCCATCTAAAAAAGAAATCACAAAATGAGACAAAAGAGTCCCCTAAAGAAAGAAAGCCTTTGCTCACATGAAAGAACAACTTTTCTTTTTATAATTTTTATTTTTAACCCCCCTCAAATATTTTATTTAATTTTAAAAATTATCTAAAAGTCCTCTTTTTCTGTTCTACCTATTTCATAATCATAAAATGCTAGATAGATAGATGCTGCAATAAAGACAACAAAAAAACTAAAGATGGTGGCAGAGACACAGCTTTTACCCCCCCACTTAGTCATCCCCACTACTTTTTTGCCCATTTGGGGGCTCCATTTCAGTACAATAGTTATGCAACTGCTACTGTTGCTCACCCTTTATTGGGTCTGCACAAGAATCAGGTCTCTGATAAAAAATCTAAACACACTTCACACAACACAAAAACAGAGATGGTAAAAGATGAAGTAAATCACATGAAAGTTACTACTACTAGCCCTTTGTTGCTATGTTACATTGCTACTTGCTGTGGTCCGGCACATACCTAGAGAGATAGGGTACAGAGTTGTAAATAGACCCCACTCCAATAAATCAGTCCATCTGTTCTTTTATGTATACAATTATGTATTATTCTAAACAGTATTTATATATATAAATATATTAATGACAGTAGTGATCTTGCTGAGATCTTGTCTAGAAGTGTCTTTTGATGTAGGTATGCTTTTGGCTATATAGCTAGAGGATCTTTTTTTTCTTCCTTGTATATGCTTCTCAATTGTTTCTGCAATGTAGGAAAAAATGGACAAATTAAGTATTATCATCAGCAATAATCCCTTTGACCAGAATTGCAATTGGTTACAAAAAATCTTGTGAGAGATTGAAGTGCTTACCCTAGCAAAGTCAATCTCCCCATTGCTGCTGGCCATGCTTAATTACATTCCAATGGTTCCATACCCAAAAGAAAACCTAAAAAGTTAAAATTACCAATTTATTCTGTCCATGGATTTTTAGTAGTAAGCATGTGTTTTTGCTATATTTTGTTAAATAGGGAAAGCAGTACCTGGGCATTTTGAAAGAACAGATTTTGGGGAAGTGGCATTTGCATTGGAGGAGGTAGAGGTGGTGGGCAGTAAATTATTATTATTGTTGTAAGAAGAAATGGTTGTGACTCTGGTGCTTTCAGTACTGACTTCTGCAGAAGTAGTAGTTGAGAAGGCATTTATTTGGTCAGCAACTGATTTTTTTGGAGAAGCAAAGAGGTTATCAGGCAGAATGTGCTCCATACTGTTTTTGAAACCAAATTTGAAACCAAAAAAACACATTAATCTCAAAATTGAATAGATTCTGACCAAAAATATAATTCCGCTGACTGAATACATAAAAGTTTTAATACCATTCAAGGAGGTCGAAGTCATTGCCATTGTCATCCTCACTCCCATGGTCAATGAGATTGAAAGCTGGATTCACCATCTCCTGCTGCAGTTGTTCAGCTAGACTACCTTCAAATTCTGCAAGAAATGCAATATCAACAAATGAAACAGAAATGACTTAACCACCCTGAATTAGCTTCTCTTTTTACATCAAGAACTCCAGAACATATTGATTAGCCAACCTTCTAGGACTTCTTCTTTATTCCCATTTGGTGAAACAATGAGGGATTGATTTTTGGGTGTATGAGATAAAGTTGGTGAGGGAAATGGAGACCCTTCTGAAAGACCATGATAGTATTGATGTTGATTATGATGATGATTGTTACTCTTGATGCCTAGAAGTTGCAGGTTCATAAGCCTTCTTTCTTGGAGTTCAATGGCTTGCTGCAAATTAGCTTGTTCCTCTAATTTCCTTCTTAACATCTCATGGGTATTGTAAAACATTCTTGATCCTACAAAGAGATCAAATCAAAACAAATTCTCAATATATAGGAATTTTTTAACACAAATCCTCAATATATAGGAATTTTTTAACACCATCAAAGGAATAAAGTTAGTTTGCGTATTTTCTTACCAAGATTGAGGTCAGAAGGCTCCCTAGAATCAATCCCAGACAGGCTTGTGCAGATATGATGGTCTCCCCTCTCCAACTGCTGGTGTTGTTGCTTCCTGAAAATGTGTAATTCAAAGCAAAAATAAACAATATGGAAGGAGGGCAAAATTTGTAAAACAAGACAAACCAGAAGACTCAAAATTGCTGTTTACTTGTCTGGTATTTTCCCCTTCTCCTTGTAAGGCTTCACAAGCACCCGCGAATCACAGACAAAATGAGGGTTCCCTTTAGCCAGAATAATCTTCACAGTCTCTGAATACACAAATGTAACAAATCCAAACATCCTCTTTTGCTGGTATGGAATCCTCACATCTTGAACTGGTCCATAAATGCTTCAAAACCACATAATTATACAAAGAAACTATGCTTTTAGTTCAAGTCCTCAATGTCGAACACTTCATCATAAGATTGCTAGAAACAAAATGATCAGTAATTTTACCTAAAATAATTAGAGACATCTTCTTCTCTAAATGTACTATCAGCTGGGAATGTCAAGTAGATCTGCCTAGAACTGTGATTAACATTTCCTCCCAAAGTTAAAGTTGAAATGTCATTTCTCTCATATTGGTATCTCCCAAACTTGTGAAGCTCATCTCCCATCATCAATGCAGATGTCGCTGACCTGAAACACATCAAAATGCAACCAAAGATTCCCCATTAACAAACCAAACCAAGACCAAAACTCATTCAAAAAGCAACATAATACTTTTTCTTGCAGAATTACAAGCATATACCTTTTAGTGTCATTTTGTTGCTGCATAAAAAAATTCATGCACTTGTTGTATGGAAAAGAAGCACCACCAGCCATAAAATGTGAGACTGCGGCTTGTTTCTGCTGCTGGGTAGCAGCATTGGATCTGAGTAACTCTTGACACTGCTCAAGTACATTGACATTGCTAGGAGAACCAACATCAACGGAGGCACCATCAGCGTTAATGGAGCCACTGTGGAGAAAACGGCAGCTGCTTCCATTTTTACAGAACCCTCTTGAGTAATACAAGCATGGCTTCCATCCAACCCCAGAATTTACATCTTCAGCTCCAAAACACATGCTGGGTACAGAGTAACTTTGCTTTTGCTGTGAACTGCTATAAGCACTTTGGCTTCCATCAAACAAATCATCAGTCTTTGGATCACTGAGGAAAGAAAGATGGCTCTGAAGCTGGTATTTTTCAGCAAGTTCACTGGTAGAAGAATGGTAGGCTGAAGATAAAGATGATGATGATATGGTGGGTGACAACAAAGACCCAGAAACAGAACCAGGGTTACTGTTTTTGCTAACAATATTGGCATAAGAGGGTGAAGAAGTGGAGCTGGGGCTCATGGGATTGCTGAGGCTCCAAAGGTTTGAAGATGGGGAGGAGGGATTTGATATGGAGGGCAGGGACAAAGGGTTGGGCCTTGAGATGGGGTTGAAGGTTGAAGGAGAAGGTGTAGCAGAGTTGGGTTTTGACTGAAGAAGGCCAAGTTGGGTTTTGGCATTGATGATGAGATTGTGCAGCAGAGTCTCTGGTCCAAATGCCAAGCGTATCATCTCCTTGTCACCATGGTCTTGTATCAAAAGGAACCCCATGATTTTTGAGGCATTTTCTGGATCCAAACTTTGGATCCTCGAGTAAACTATCTTAGTAGCTTCATAAGAATCCATGGAGAAAAACAAAGAAACACTTGAGTGTCCTAGAGAGAGAGAGAGAGAGAGAGAGAGAGAGAGAGAAGAGAGGAGAGTAGAGTGTGAAGCTGGCCCCTGTTAATTTATAAAAATTCAAAGAAAAAGAGAAAGAAGCAATAATGGGCAGATCATTATTTTAGTGTAATCATTGTAAGGCTATAGAAATAGAGAAGCAAATATATGAATGAGTAGGTGAAACTTTATTTATTCCGATGAGCTCAAGGAGTAAGCTTAACAAGGAGCGGGTTTTGAACTTTGAGGATGATTTGATGAAGAAGAAGAAGAAGAGAGAGAGAGAGAGAGAGAGAGAGAGAGAGAGAGAGAGAGAGAGTATCAATTCAAAGGTGCTTTGATGCTGCTACTGCTCTTGCTGCTCTTCTCTTTTATTTTACAAATTTTAGAACCACAACTTTGATGACAGTACAAAAACCCTGCACAAGCAGCAGCAACCTCTCTCTCTCTCTCTCTCTCTCTCTCTCTCTACTTTCTCTCTCGTTCATTATTTCCTCTCTCTTTCTTTAAAAAAATATTAATTTCGAGGTTTTGTTGTCTTTACAGAAAGAGACAAAAATAGACAAAGTGGGAGAAGGGTTTCAACCTGGTTTGAGAGTAGAAAGGGCAACTCGAACCAAAAAAGAAAAAAAAAAACAAAGAAAAAATAGAAAGGGGGAACAGTAAGATCACTCGCTTTTATTCATGTGCATTCTTTAATGACACTCCCAAAATAAACCATGTGGGCTTATAGGTTCGGATGGACATTCCAAAACACTTTTTGGATTTAGATTTGAAAATTCAACTCAGGGCATAAAAAGTTTATATAAAAAATCAATATTTCAGGGAAAGTTGAGATCTGGAAAAAATAATCAATATCAATTTTGTTAGGTGGTATGGGCCCGTTTGGTATTTGAACACAAAAATCTTGAAACAACGAGGTTTGATGGCATTTGTTCCAAGATTTTTTTGGGGTCAAAGTTTGGAAGAGAGGGTCGGCGGATTCGAATATGAAATCACTAATCTGCAAGCAAATGCTTTTATCATTGAAGTGAGATTCGAATATGAGATCACTGATCTGCAAGCAAATGCTTTTATCATTGAGTCATGAAACCGTTGGCTCATTTGTTCCAAGTTAAAATCATTTCGATCATTAAAAAGAAAATATAGAAATGATGTGAAATTTAGGGATCATAAATTCCGAACCTCAAAAGTTCATTGAGTTCGTAGCTTTCAAACAAAGAAACATAGGACAAGCCAACCTCCCCCACACAGCCAGCCATCACCCCGCTCCCACAACCCTTTCTGCCACTAGCACCATCCCCGTCTCCACCACCGAACCCACTTGCCAACTGCATCTCATCTCCCACTTCCTTCTAGCACCACCACTGTTACTATATAGTTACTATCAACACCACTGTTATCAGCATCACCACCTCTGTTACCGCCATCACCATAACCATAACCATCATCTGAGAACATTGGGTCTTGACAATTTTTAATTTTTTTTTTTGCAATCAACAAGAGGGGAGATTCGAATTTATGATCTTTTCCAACATTACAAAAGGAAGTACTAATGAAAGAATTTATTGATTCTTGACCTTCGCCTAGCCTCTTCTAACACAGTTTTTAGTCTTCTTACGCCTTTGGAGTGCTACTCCTTGGTACAATAGATACACGATCATCACCGGTGTACCCAAGATAACTCTTATTGTGACTTCCTTGATTTTGCTTCCATGAGTTCACTCCTCAAAGAACCTTTTCCTTAGTGGAGTTAGCAACCACCGGACAGTTGGCGGCACCTACTTATTGCAAGAACCGCAGAGACTCTACAACATATCATAGATTCCAGCATTGGCTGCCTCCACCTTCGGCCATGGAATGAGATATTCCCCATCAACAGTTCATAATCATATTATAATGTTCCAAAACAAAAGCCACATGACATTATCAGCATAACATACAACAATTGCGGTGGACAAGAAACGAGGGAAAAAAACCTTGAAAAGATAAATTAAGGTTAATCTACATTACAATTACAAAAATTATGGTCTTAGCAGCATCTTCAAAGTCAGATAAAGTAATCACGCTAGAGAAACATACTCATGTTAATAAGAACCATGACTAAACTGGGAAATCACTTCGAATGCATACAATAAGGGGAAAAAAAGGTGAGAGCTCCGGGGCAAATTGAGATGAATCCATAAAATAAGTGAATTCCACACATCAACCCAAATCTTTACTAACTCAATGATAAAATATCCAACCCACTGTTCAAAATCCAAGCCCCCTCACGACAGAACTATGCATGCCACATTAGTATCTCCTCCTAGGGGGGCTCCTCGAACGACGTTCTCGTAGAGGTCTGCAAAAATTACAAACGTCAGCATAAGATATTTAAAGAAAACCATACACTTGGAACTAAGTTATAACTTATATCATATAGGGCTCTTCACAAATAAGTCCCTCAAAACTCTCTTTCATTGTCAAAAGCAATTAGCACTATTTTGAAGAAAAAAAAAACCCGGAGCCAACAGTTATTGCACCCGACATTAACAGTTGATAGGTGACGGATTTTTTTCCCCCCTATAGTTTGAGAACTACACTAAGTATGTATGATAAAACAGTAATCTTGACAGGACTAAACAGATCAGTAACAGAAGACATTGTACAGGTCTTAAGAAGGTCCCTATAGGATCAGAAAAGTCCTTGTTCTACTGGTAATCAAAGTTCAAGGCATCAAGCATTGGATCCAGGTTGAAAGAGACCACACCTTAAGGGACAATCACAAAAGAGATATACAAATATATTGATAGTGTGAAGCAGGGGTAACTAGGGGCGGAACATTCTCCACCATCTAAAACAATTCTATTAACAGCTGCCCACATCAAAGGAGCACCACTTTTAATTTAAATGAAAACACTGCAGCACAGGCCATGTCTATGGATAACCTAAAGTTAAAAAATGCAAAAATGGCCTAAGTTTCTTCTGAACTCCGAGATGTGAATTAATTATTGGCAAACACATTCATCTCTTTAAATATGCAATTAGAACTTCTTTTTATGTGAAAAGAATCATCCCTTAAGAATTTCACAAGAAAATTAGGTGCAATGTAAAACCTTGTGGTCTTCTTCCTGGATCCATCAAGGAAGGATCCATTGCTGAAGGCCCAATCAACATTAAGAATCTGTGTAAGTAATGCAGCTTCATTCATTCCAGATATCGCAGCTTGTGCCTCTTCAAAACTCTCATATTCAATCAGCGCATATCCCTAGCAGCAAAAATAATTCACAATAAGTCACTAAAAAACAATTATCAACTTTTGATGGACTCAACCAGTCAAAACAATATCTAATGCATCATCATTTGACGGACTCACCCAATATTATCTTTAAGGATATAACTACTCCCAAATGCATCATCAAATCAAGAGCAAGAACAACTATTAGTTCATTCGGTTGTCAAATAGCTTTCTAATCATCCCATATTGTCGTATGAATATTGATTTTTCCAAAAATAAACTAGAAAAATTACCTTAATGAAGAAATTTAGGCTCAAACAATTCATTCATTAGATTGTTTATATGCTCATTATGAGATGCAAAAAGAATGCGGCTCGAGAAAGATAACTGCTGCGAATCTTTTGATACAGAAATAAGTCAATATTCTTTCCATTTACTGGAACAAATTTATCACAGATATATATGCATTTAACATCCTGGCAACAATACTCAGCATCTTTAAATCTTCATTCCACCTAAGACCATTTTCCATAATTGAGCCCATTTGGGTGATTAGGATGTAAGAACTTCCAGTTGAGTTGCTTAACCAAAGTAAGGGAAGGTCCATGCAGATAACACATTATTATTCTAGCTTTCATGTTGGTGAGGAATGAACCTACAACCTCAGTCAAGCCCCTGATTAATAAACCAAAAAAGTACTGATCTTAAATAAAATCCCCATTTTAAGAGTCTCCATTTCATGTCAATTTTTGCTTGAGAAACATCTTCCCATTTCATGTCAGTTGACGTTTCACAAAGTTGACATTCCAACCAAAAACGATATTCTGGTGTTTTGGGTTTCCATTTCAAGAAATTGGCTTCGGTAGATAATACAGGGCATACAAAGTTGCCAGTAACCACTTAATAGCCTGAAAAGATTATGTAGTCTACACTTAGGTTACAATTCTGGCCAATACACGAAGTGCCAAAACTGAGAACAGGGTGAGAAGGTAAACTCATCTGCGCTGTTACCTTATGAAAGTCAACCAGATTCTTTAAGGCGAAATCGAATTTTTTTTTATCAAGCTTCAGAATTGATCTAAGTGGGTGATGTGGTTTGTAGAGTATGTTCTAGAAACCAGTCAAAAGTGATGAAGTGAATTGGCCAAGAGACAAGCTAGTATGTGGGCTACTTTATATGCACACACACACAAAAAAAGAGAGGCAACTTTCTAATTTTCTTCCTTACCCTTTTCTTATTCAAAAGAATATGCCTGTTTCTGATTTCCTTTTTTAAACAGTCCAAACAGGTCATGGGCCTATTGGGCTTCACTTCTTAGAATTAATTGCTTACATGCATATATGCATAATGCATATGTGCTTAGTATATGCCCCTTAAATAGGAGAATTGCCAATCTGGCATATTGGGCTTCATTTCTTAGAGTTAACCTCTCATACACATTTACATATGTGCACATGTATATGCACCATACAATATGAGAATTTACAATCTTATAATTTAAACGGCTGGCAATCCAACAGCTCATTTTTCCTAGCATTCAATTCAAAATTCCATGCTTAATACAAATTCCGATTATTTCCATTCTTGTTCTACACAAGGTTACAGATTTCACCCATAATTTTTCTTTACTTTCTGTTGTTCTGTTATTCTCCATAGTTTATAACTGATGAATGACTTATTACCCTAGTTTTACAAATTTCAATAATAAGATACAATATTCCGAAAAATAAATAATTGAAAAAAAACAAAACAAATGCATATCCAAACTCCATAGTATACATAATGAAAGTCCTATCGTACCTTCACAAACCCAGTGCGGCGATCAAGATTTAAATGCAAATTTTTTATCTCTCCAAATTCACCAAATGCATTATGTAGATGATCCTCTTGGGCTTCCTCATGTACCCCAGTGACCAGAATAATCCATCCCTCAACGGCTGCAGACATTTTTAAAATGAAAAGAAGAAATTTTCAGGGGAAGCAATGCCAACTACATGTACGTAGGAAACATACTCCTTACCCTATGGTTACAAAAATACATGAAACTCTAACAAATGCATAAAAAGGTTCTGTGTAAACTGGAAAACAAGATTATCATTCTTGATTTAGCAGAATTAAAATCAGGAAGGATACTGAACAATTGAATTGTAAAGGTCTTGACATTACTGCAAGAAATCAAACAAGAAATGGAAAGCAAGAGTGGGCCAAAAATATGTAAATATAATCCCTTTTAATTTGTTTTAAATCAATAATGGAAATGAAGGACGAATTTTTGACTTGGTACCCATTCAGGCAGCTTCTTGAATAGGTGGCATTACAGGGCACCTACCCAAATTCTATGAGAGGACATATTACCCACTCAAGGTTAAAATCAAAGACATTGCAGTTGAAGTTGAATGTTTAAAATTTGAACTAGTGGTAAAAAGATATTGCAAGAGGTAGGTGAGATAATGAACAGACCATGAGGCTATATCCGCACCACAGAGAAGGGAAAACATGACTTCCAAGGAACTAGGACCCTGTTATTTACACAGAATGCAGAAGAGCATTCCAGACCTAGACTGAACATATGGTAGGCTATGCTAGCCCCTGGAAGTTTCTATTAAGAGCCTAGACAAGCATTTAAAGTCAGCAATTAATACACAAGACAAGATTTGACCCATAAGTGCAACAAAATGAGATCCTATTTTCCCTGGAAAGAAGGAAAGAACTTACAGTATTAAGCAGTGAAATTGAGTACAAATATCACAACTTACACTGAGAAAATATGGGAATTGAATGATTTCTGCTCCATGGAGGAGTTTCCCATATTCTTTATTTTTTCAATTTACCTAGAGAAAAAAGGAAAAAAGAATCTCTCTCTCATCACGTTCCTGCCAAAGTTCAATATGAAAAGGCATACTTTCTTACAAGCTCCATAAAGTCCAGAAATTAAAGTCATAAACCCAGCTTTTCTACACATCATATGCATTTTCACTGTTCCTTTCTAGTCATGCCGAAAGATTTTTTATACTGAATTTAAACTATTTAGCCACATTTTGACTGCCACTATGCTCCAAACTTTCACCTTGTTGCCACAGATTAATGTCTTCTACAAACATGGTTATTTGGTTCAACCTACAACCTACAGCTGTGGCACACTAATTAACGAGCTCTATGGCATGCACTATCCTCCAAAATTCATGGCCTATTAAAACTGCACTCTCACACATTTGATTAAAAAAAAAGCAGTTGAAAACTGTGTACCATGAAAATATGCTTGACCCTTCCCTGACTTCTATAGACACATATGTGAATAACGGAAGTATACTTCTACAAAATGATCCCTCGACATAAATCCAATGTCCAAACTCAAAAGCAGAAATCCAAACTTCAAACTAAAGAATGGGAATCCAAAATCCGAACCAAAAAAACTGAAACTTCCGAGAACCTAATAACTTTTTAGCATAACTGAATTGCAAAACATACACACCCGCTTAAATTTCCCCAATGAATCCGGGTGAACAAAAGTGAAGAATTCTACAATGCCAGCTACCAATCCAATCAAGACCCCTTTCACCAGGGAAAGAAAAAAAAAAAACCTCCAAAAAATCCTAAAGCCCTAGCTACCAATCGATTCTAAAAAGTGAAATTTTCCCCAAAACATACAACCCAAGCTACAATTTCAATCAAGAAACTCTTTTTATCAGATAAAACTCCAAGAGTCTTCAAACCATAGCTACCAATCAATTATAAAAATTCAAACTTTCGCTAACACAACAAAAACCAAAGATGTACATAAAGAGATACACAAAAGGAGAGAGACAACTTACATCGTTGGGGTTCGAGGCCGTCTGAGGAGTTTAGGGAGTCGAAGTCGGAGGCAGCGAGGCGGTTGTTGCGGTCGGCATTGAGATCTTCACGAAATCCGCGACCTTTAGTCTTTTTAGGGGCGGCGGGTGAGGCGGACGCGCCGACGCCGGTGATTGCGGACTTGAGCTTGGGTTGTGGGGCCCTAGGGGACGCCGAGGGCTCGGCGTCGACCGCTCCTTCCTCGTCCATGAGATCGTCTTCTTGAAAATCGAAGTCCACGGTCTCTACGTCTGCGCTTGCCATAGCTGATTTTCTCTCAGTTCCAACGCTTCTAGTTACCTCTTCAGAATGTGCTCGTTCTCTCTCTCTCTCTCTCTCTCTCTCTGTCTCTCTGTAGATGAGGAAAGGCACAAAGGGTTGGGTTGGGATTTAAGGGTTTACCTTGGGCTTTGTCTCGATGGCTGTCTCGTTTTTTCTTTTCTTTTTTATAATAATTTTATTAGAAGAGGTATGATGGTTATTTCTTAAAGGCTTAATTATGTACATGCCCCTGTGCTTTCCAACTTATCTCAGATTACCACCTGTGGTGGAAAACGTCTCAAAGTACCCTCCAACGTGCAAAAAACTGTCTCACGTTACCCTTTCCGTCAGTTTTTTTGAAGTTTCGTTACGAACGTTACTGTTCATCTCCCCCAAAATTCCAGAACAGCAGCTCCTCCCATTTGTTACTGTTCATCGCACCAGTTTTTGGGCTGCCATCGCCTCCTCCGGCCACCCCAAGCGACGACATGGATATCAAAAGAACCAGCACGTTGTCCTCTACCACCCTCACATCTCAGCCGCTGCCAACCGTCGTCTGGATCACCGAAAAAAACAAGAAATTGGCCGATTTTTACCCAAAATCTCCATTGCTCGTTCGGGCGATTCCGAGCACCATTTTCTTCGATCCAGGTATGATTTTTCAACCTCTCGAGTTGTTCTTGCTGCTAGTTGTGTTGGTTAGGAGAAATTTCT